ATATTCTCTACCAAGAAAAACTCCAGTTAATGAAACATTTGGTTCTTTGAGGCTTAACACACTATAAAGACTGGACTGAAGAATTTTATTTGCACGACTAATGTGAATCATTGGATGCTTTCCAGTAATCCAGTTTGACAGTTGGTTACTAAGATCAGGGCTTCATACAGTATATGAGTTTTCTCTTCTTCCTTGTGTAGTTAACAAAACTAGTATTTCAATTCATCCAAATACTTGTTAACACATTCGTGGTTCTTACCCCTGTTCCAGGTTAATCTCATGTGCTTTTTTTCTAGCTTTCGTTTTTTATTTGCTTGCATTGGTGTATGCAGGATGGAATATGATGTTATTCTTGTGGGGTGTGTTCAGAGGGAAGAAAGCAAATGCTCCTAGTTTGCAACATTTTCCTGGGGCTGAGAAGCCAATTTCTCGAAATATCGCCATGGCCACCACATTTCCTGAAAATATATTCTCCACTGTGCCTAAGGTGAACTCTGCATGTGGTAGTGCTGCCTGTAATACCGAAATGCCTATAATAGAGTCAGAATCCACAACATCACGTAGATCTGTAAATGGAAATTGCAGTACTCAATTGTCTACCCAGGTGAGTAGAGAAGGATTCTCATATGAAAGCAGAGCCTAAACCAGATTCCAGTTTTATATGAAGTATTGTACCAAATTTACGGCCCACATAGGATACACAAAGATGATTAAATGCAATTGCTTTTCATTTCTACATAATTCTTTCTAAGAATAAATGGTTTGCTCATCTCTATCCATTCATGTATAAATCAATGTGTTGGAGTTCCCACATCTGAAAAAGTAATGAAATACCACTAGCATATATAGAAGGGTGAAACTCTTCCTATTAGCTTAAGCTTTAGGTTAGAAAGTGGATCCCAACTTTATATGCAAGTGGTTAATTTTATCCATCAACCATCCTGTTGTTTGAGGTAATGGTTGAAAGTGAATGGAGAGACCGAGGATTTTAGTGTTCATTCTGGCGTTAGTATAAATTACTTGTATATAATGATGGCCATTTTACTTTTTTTATTTCTTTCCGGAAGGTCAAAGCACCTGAAATATTCAGCTGTCCTAATATGAGTGGTCCTATGTCTGCTCAAGAGGCTTCCCCACTTGACAGAGAGAAACTATCACTGTTATCTGCTGAAACATCAACAAGTATGCCGGAGGTAACTTCTGTTGGAAGCATGGCAAAGGATTTGAGTAGCAAAGATGATGTGAAACTTGAAGGAATGAGGTTGAACAATGCATCCAGCGAGGATGGAGCTATTTTGGCAAGGCATGAACACGCATTGCATGTAAACCACAAGAAACGTTCGCATTCAGCAGAGACTGAGCAGCAATCTGCATCATCCTCTGGGACAAGTCATCATTTTCCAATTTATATTGATGATGAGAACTTGGTTGAAGAAAGATGCAGCAAAAGATGGAAACCTATTCTGGACCGGTCTTATGAACGTGATAATGACCCAACTAGTTTCTCAAAGGATGGATTCTTATCAGAGATGAACAGTACAACTCCACAGGAGAACGAACGCGGTGGAGCTCAGAGCAAGACCGCAATCTTAGAACACATGGGAAATTCTGAGATGTCTTTCATCCCAGTTGACCCATGTTCTGAGGATGATGTTGGTTCCAATAATAGCTCGATACCTTGGAAAGTACGCCCTCTGAAGGAAGATCAGCCCTGTGATAAAACACCAAATCTTGAGCTTGCTTTGGGTGCTGAAACAAAGCCTCTGATGCATGGGATTCCATCTTTTATATCGGGAAGAGTCGGAAAAAAAATATTGCAGGAGAATTCTTCAGATTATGAAGCAACAAGTTTCAGTGAGGATGGTGTTTCTGCTGCTCTTTCACTCTCCCTATCATTCCCTTTCCCAGAAAAGGAGCAGGGCAGTTTGGTTTCAAAGGCTGAGCAGGAAATTCCAGAAAGAAGGCAAGTCAATACATCATTTCTCCTCTTTGGCGGGCCTGAAAAGGATAAACAGTGAAAAGGTACCAATAGTTATTATGTACATTATACCTAGTCCGTACGGATTTGTTAGGTGCACAAGATCAGATGTTCATAAGTTTAAAGAATCCACAGCTTGTGATAGGTTATGTTTCTCTTATAATCACAGTTTGACAGTATATAGTCATCGGTTTGTATATAAAGAGTATAATTAGTCCTTAAGCCTCTGGAACCATAGACGGACGGCCCCACCCCTCACACAAATGTTTTGGGTCTGAATTTTTGATTCACTGAGTCGGTTCTTGGTTTTTCATATTGTTTGGAATGATCATAATAATATTACATCATGGATATATTTTTGGCTCACTATCCCCCGTAAAGATACTCCCTCCGTCCCAAAATACGTAGTATTTGTTACATTACGTAAAACGAAATGAAATTTCAAGTTTTTCTAACTTATTTTATTTAAAAATTGATATAGAGAAAAATAAAATTAAATTTATTTGTTTATGAGCTATGTCAAAAGTTTTTTAAAACAAGAGGTGAAATGAATATTTTATTTTATTAAATAATGAATGAATAATTTTTGTCATTTTTGAATGGTAAATTGTGACATCAATAGAAAATATACGATGTGGTTTGAGAATTGAGATGGTCAAGGAGATGCTACGTATATATAAAAAACCGGATCTCGAAGTATGAGCGCTGCCTTATCAAGAAAGACAACGCAGAGATATTTTTCTTGGTTTAGCCTTCCCTCCTTTGAAAACAAAATCATATTTTGAAACAATAATGCTATTTACACACTACATTTGTACTCTAGTTTGTACGCCAAATCTTTTGAGTGGCACAGAATGCAAAGCATTATGCATATATTGCACTTACATTTCGTGCCAGTGTAAAACTTTGATATACAAATATAATGTAGATGTGGCATGGTCCATTTGGATCTTGGAAGTGTTTTGTTTTGAGAAAAAAAGACCCACAAATATGGCCTATATAATGATACCTGCTCCTGCTGTAAAAAATATATCTTTTCATTTTAACGTAGTTTATTGTGACTTACAATCTTTTTTTGTGGCTGTATCGTTTTCAACTAATTAGTTTTAATTTTTTAATTTCCCTGTTAAACGCAATTAAGAATGTTTTTTTAGATGGCGGAGTATCTCTTATAAAATTGAAAGGGTAATACTCTCTTTGTCCTTAAAACGAAGCAAAATTCAAAATTTTTTAATTCATTTTATTATAAGATTGGTAGAAAAATTAAAATTAAAATTTTATATTTAAAGACCACATCAAAAGCTTTACACAACAAGAAATATAAAAAATATTTAATTTTATTAAATAATCAGATAAAATGCATAAATAAATAAAAGTTATCGTAATTTTGGAGTAGTGTAAAGTGCTAATCATATTGGGACGGAAAGAATAATATTATATATGAGAGGTTATTTATAATCTTTCCGTCTAAATTAGGGCATGTAGGCCCGACCGTTTTGTTCAATTCGAGATTTGTTCTTTAATTTTGGTGTGTCTGGAAATCTCATTTTAGTGTTATTGCCTCCATCTCAAATTAACTTTTTTTTGCAAAGTACTATTCAATGAGTCAAACTTTATTACTTCTTTAATTATTTTCACTGCATGTTTGTTAAAAATATATATTCATATTTTAATGTTATTAATATTTAGTTAATGACTTGTTTCCTATTACAATAAACAATTTTAATTTATAAGTTGCTTATAAGTCAAGTATTCTTTCATAGAAGTAAATTAAAATGACTTGAATGATAGATAAGTCACTTGAAAATATTCATACATGGTGAGAGGCAGTTTTGTAAATGATTTGGTCAAAACGGAGAAACAAAAAAATAGCTTAAAAATAGGTATCTAAGACCTACTTAATTTTTTTTGCTTATAAACAATTTATAAATCTGCTTATAAGCACACAGAAATATATCATCAGCTGACTTATAAAAGCACACACAAACATATCATTTGTTGACTTATAAGTTCAAACTACTTATAAACAGTTTTGACTGACTTATAAACACAGAGATCCACCCACTTGATAGAGAGCACTTACAAAAGAATAAAAGTTACCAAACTAGTTTTAGTTTGGATTTCATTGTTAAATACTCCCTTTGTCAAGATTTTTTTCACTTTCTTTTTTGTACAATAGTATGATCAACGTGAAACTGAAATTGAGATTTAATAAAAAAACAAAAAGACAAGGAGTGAGAAGTCATTTGGTGGTGATTTCCAAACTAACATGATGAAATATGACTCATATACTCTATCATATACATGTTAGAGAACAAATTTAGTATTTGAGCATGTATGTTAGAAAATGAATCATGTACCACAAAAATTAAGCTTGTTATAAGCCTTCCAGCCCTTTCAATCATAAGCTCGGCCTGACCCCCAATTAGATCAAGAACTTTACAGATATACGGAAAACAATAGTATTATATATGTACGTAAAACATGTTGGTGATTTTAGTGTCTCGGTTTATTTTGTGTAAATTAGATTTACTTAGATCAGACAATAATTTTAATAGACGTTGTCAAACGAGTTAGGAGGTGCGGAGTGCGCGCTCGTTCAACGATATTACAAATTCACTGCAGGGGTCCCGGGGCGGCAGCCCCTAGGGTAGCGGGGGTCCGGGGGCGGCAGCCGCCGGGTAGCGGGGTCCAAGGGGCAGAGCCCCTGGCCGGGGTCGAGCTGGACATGCAGCTTGGAAATTTTTTATTTCGGACGTTATTTCTTTATGAAAATCCTTAAGATTTTTGTGATCAGAGTCCAAAACGCGAAAGGACTCGAACTAGTGGATAAACGTCAAAATATACTCTAAAACCACAGGAGACTCTTCGTTCAAACTCGCACCTATCTTCTTCCAGCGCGAACGTACGCGTATGTCTACGCGAAGGATCATGTCCGATCATGGAAATTTTAGACTCTATAAAATAGAGTCTCGTGGTATGGATTGCATATAGATTTTCGAGTGCTTGTTCTTAATTAACGTCTTATCCGATTGAAGTATTTTATATACCCCGAAATAACTTTGATCTGAAAGCGTTTCGTACGTGATTCGTTATACTATCGAGTTCTTCGTTTAACACTGCTTCGCAGTGCTCTCTTCCTCTTTGAAATCCAACAAAGATCAAAGTTATTCTTGAAGTTATACTCGAAGAACTCAAAGATGACGTGTGGCGATTCCGTAAGAGATTTGAGCAGCAAGTTTTCGAAGTAAGAAAAGTTTGAAGGCCAGGACTTCCGTCGAAGGCAGAAGAAGATGCACTTCCTTCTCACAACATTGAAGGTCGTGTATGTACAGTGCACGACTATGCCGCAGATCATGGATGACGATACACTAGAACAGACAAGGAAACGGTGTAAGTGGGAGAACGATGACTACATTTGTCGAGGACATATTCTAAACGGTATGTCTGACTCTCTGTTTGATGTATATCAAAATGTTGAATCTGTAAAGTTACTATGGGACGGTGTAGAAGAAAAGTATATGGCTGAGGACGCTTCGAGCAAGAAGTTTCTCGTTAGTAACTTTAACAATTATAAGATGGTCAACTCTCGACCAGTCATGGAACAATACAATGAACTGTTTAGAATCCTGGGCCAGTTTGCACAGCATAACATAGTAATGGATGAATCCATATCTGTGTCTAGTATTATAGACAAACTGCCTCCTTCGTGGAAAGAATGCAAACGTGAGTTAAAGCATAACAAGGAGGAAATGAATCTGGTGCAACTTGGGACCCATCTTCGGATTGAGGAGTCCATCCGAGATCAAGAGGGAAAGAAGGTGAAGGATATAGCCGGTCCATCGTCCATCAACATGGTCGAAGACGAAGGTTTCACTAAAGTGAAGAATAAGTTTAAGGGTAAAAAACGTAAGTCCGGAAATACACCCAAATCTGCAAATAAAAAGGCTAAAATGGGTTGTTGGAAGTGTGGGAAACCAAGCCACTTCAAGCAGGATTGTCGAATTGGCAAGCGAGACAAGGATACAAGCAAGAATGGTTCCGGTCAAGGAACCAAGGACCAAAACAAATCAGAAGGTCAGATTATTCCACTCATCAATGATTCGGTTAAGAATTATGTCTCAATTATATCTCATGCATTTTATGTGCAAGATGATGACATCTCTTTGTGGGTTGATTCGGGGGCAACATGTCACGTGTGCAAGGACAAAAGATGGTTTAGTTCGTTGGAATCAATGGACTATGGATCAGTGTTACGCATGGGAAACATAGCCACCGAACCTATCAAGGGAATTGGAATAGTAAAACTTGTATTCACTTCCGGCAAAAATGTACTCTTAGATAATGTATTATATGTACCAGGTCTTCACAAAAATCTTATATCAGGGATTGTATTAAATAACCATGGATATAAACAAGTATTGGAAAGTAATAAATATATTTTATCTAGACATGGTGGCTGTGTAGGTTTTGGTTATTTATGCAATGGCATGTTTAAATTGAGTTTGAATGTTCCTTTTGGCATGAATGATGTTTGTATGACGACTACATGTGATGCTTTAAACAAATCTTTTTTATGGCATGCTCGTTTAGGTCATGTGCATTATAAAAGATTACAAGATATGTCCAAAAGTAACTTAATTCTTGCCTTTGACATAAACAAGGACAGATGTAAGACATGTATGTTATCCAAGATAACTAGAAAACCCTTTAAAGAAATCAAAAGGGATTCTAATATACTTGAACTCGTTCATAGTGACTTGTGCGATTTTCATGCAACTCTATCTATAGGAAATAAAAGGTACATGATCACTTTTATAGATGATGCCTCTAGGTTTTGTTATGTATATCTTTTACATGCTAAGGATCAAGCATTGGAAACTTTTAAAGTATACAAAACCGAGGTAGAATTGCATAAAAATAACTTGGTTAAAACTCTTCGGACAGATAGGGGAGGAGAATATTTTGATCCAATTTATTTTCAATTTGTTGGTATAATTCATGAGACCACTGCTCCCTATACACCACAACAAAATGGCGTAGCCGAGCGAAAGAATAGAACCTTAAAAGAAATAGTTAACTCTATGTTGTCTTACTCGGGTTTGAGTGAAGGATTTTGGTGAGAGGCTATGTTAACGGCCTGCTATTTGTTAAATAGAGTTCCTAACAAAAGGAGAAAAATTACCCCTTATGAAATTTGGTATGGGAAGCTACCAAACTTGAATTATTTAAAAGTTTGGGGTTGTAGGGCGGTTGTAAGACTCCCAGAACCTAAGAGTAGAACCTTGGGTGAAAAAGGGATTGATTGCATTTTTATTGGATATGCTCAGCATTCTAAGGCTTATAGATTCTACTTTATAGAATCTAATGACTCGATGGGAGTAAACACTGTGATCGAGTCAAGGGATGCAATCTTCGATGCGAATAGGTTTTCATCAATACCTAGACCAAGAGATCTGGTTCTAGGTGATTCATCTATACCAAACCAAGAGGGCTCTAGTAGAGACATAGTTTCTACTAATGAGTCGTTCGTTCCTACGGAAATTAGGAGAAGCAAAAGACGTAGAGTTGCCAAATCCTTTGGCTCAGATTTTCAATTATATCTAATTGAAGGTTCTAGGGATGAAATTTTATTTCAATATCAATATTGTTATAATGTTGAAGCCGATCCTAGAACATATAATGAAGCTATGGCTTCAAGGGACGTGGCGTTTTGGAAAGAAGCTATTCAAGATGAGATGGACTCTATCTTGCATAACAACACTTGGAAATTAACTGACTTACTGTAACACCCTAATCCGTCCAGGTCTGCAGCCCTTTTCGGACTAAAGTATTTAACTTGGTAATCGTAAAAATTTAAAACTTTTCAAACACACTTTATTAATCCCAATAATATTTTTCATAACATACACAGTACGGAGTATTCAACAATATTACGGAAGAGAATTTAATTTTGACATATCATAAATCATTTCAAACATGTCACATCCATCCCGACAATCTCGCCCCATCTGCCGCCAGGATCACATTATGCTTTCTATTTACCTGCGTGTAGCAAATAAAACATACTACACGCTCAGCGGTAAAGCTGAGTAAGCATATCTAATGCGTCGAACATCCATATAAACTGAATCTAAATTCATAATCAAACCATTTGATATCATGCACACAATGTTCATTTCAGACATTCACAGTTTTAGTATTGTTCAGTTCATATCAACACATTTTATTCAATTCAGATACTATTTCAATAGTGCTCTTAAATTATTCTTAATCTAAGGCCAGATCATAACAACGCTCTTAGCTATTCTTAGTCTAAGGCCAGATCATAACAACGCTCTTAGCTATTCTTAGTCTAAAGCCAGATCATAATAATGCCTTTTAGCTATTCTTAGTCTAAGACCAAATCATAATTTCCATAACCAGATTCTTTTAAGGCAATTATTGATCAGACACTTAAACTATCATTAGTTTAAGGCAATTGATTTTGGACACTTAACTGTAGTCAGTTAAGGCAATCAGACACTTAAACTATCACTAGTTTAAGGCAAACGATTCGGACACTTAACCGTAGTCAGTTAAGGCAACAACAATATAGCGATTGATCAACATTGGATCAGACATTCCCAAACGAGTAATCCTCTAGTTTGGTCTACGAATCCCGTTTATACATTTTTATCTAATTCATCAAATATTCATGTTCTCATAAGTCTATTCTAATACAAGATCTATTGTAGAGGTCTTCTAGATAGCCTTAACATCAATTAACTAATGGGTATATCTAAGAGTTATTCTAGATACCGTTAACAATACAAATCGTTTCATAATTATCAATATATTCATTTTAATAATGGTTAAATCATCAATAATCATTTTAATCAGTAAGTTCATCATTCATAATCATACTTAATAATTATTCATCATAATCATCAATCAACATAACAATTGATAACAAATAGCAGTCTAGTTTCGAATGTTAACACCCGAACATACCGTCATGCATCACATAACATTTTTATTTGTTAAAAACATCATTTTTATTGTAAAGAATCATCCTTAAAATAATCATAATCAATTGGTATCAAAAATAGGATTTTAGACCTCAAAAATAGCAATTTAAGGTAAATTTTCGGATCAAAACTTCGGGGGATTGATCCAGCTCTCTGGATCGATCCATACTATGAAAAATCACTCCCAGGGGATCGATCCAAGCCCCTGGATCGATCCAGACAGTGGTGTTTTAGCCACTGTTCATCTTCTTCTTCGTTCGGGTCCAATTTCGGAGATACCGTTTTTAGTTATCGAACTTCAACGAAACTATATAGAGATGTTCTCCAAGGTTCATAGATCATTTTGGCATCATTAATTCATAGTTTTAACACCAATTTCATGGTTTATGATTCTTGGTTCTTCAAGCATGTCAAACACAAAACTCAACCAAACGACCGTTTATGAACGTAGAAACGATCTATACGAACATTCTAGTCACTAGATATATCTACGGGCTTACCTCGAAGGTAAATGAAGGTTTTGGAAATTTTCCGGCGAAACTTCCGGCGATGATTTCTCTCAACTCCGGCGAC